CCCCAAAACCCCAAAACCCCAAAACCCCGTCTAGTGAGTATTCTAAAATGAACTAAAATTATGATTCGAAATAAATTATTTTAAATATCATATAAAATAATTTAATGACATTTACTAAGCTCGTTGTTACTTTCTAAAAATTAAATACGAATCTTTCAGTACTTCATTCATTCCATCCATCAACTGATATTGATTTGTTAGGATCTTCTTACTCTTATTGCTTGAGAGGATTCGCATACCTAGGTTTTAAATCCTGTAATATAAAGCTCCCGTTGTTTCCAAAATTGGCTAACGTCTCGTTTAAGTTATACTCATTGCTTATTCCTTATCCAAATCCTTGATCAATGTTCTCCTGACGGTTAAAAACCTCCATCATGCTTTTTCTCTGATTAACTTCAGCTAGATTAATAATAGTAGAGGGGAATTTGATGGTAGAACGGTGCCTTCTATGATTGCCTTAGCCAGATTGTACTATTTATTTCAAAGGTGAGGGCTGTTTTTGTCTGTGCGTTGGCCTGTTCTTAAATACCAAGAGCTTTCTTCGAGGTGTTAAATTTGTAATGTTTAATAAATTTGTAGTACTTCCAGTCACAGATAGCTTGTTGAAGTCGTGAAATCTATTTTGCAGATCAAATTATCTCTACAGTATTTTAAATGATTCCATATCATTTCTGAATTCATCGTTTTCTGTAATCACAAAGTCATCTATATGCTTTGAATAATTTATTGGGGAAAGATTCACAGGCATATTTAGCTTGGTAAAGTTGTGATTGGAATTCATATAGACTGGATCCATCTTAAAGCAAGATGGCCGCCCAATGTTATCATATGATTTGTTAATCCCTTAAGATACCCTAGCCTTCGGTTAAGGACTTTTTGGAATCGATTGTAGGGAGCCCTCCTAGCTTTTTGATAATTCTATTTGGACTTATCTCTACCATTGATTTAGTTTCGTTAGTTGTCTCTATTTCTCGATGATCATAAATGGAGTTTGAAAAGAATTTTTCTTAATTAAATTGTTCTAGCTTTAAGTGAGTATATTTTGTGATTTAGTGAGATCTAAGTTTGATGTCATATTTTGCTTTTTTTGATACGAAGAAGGCAAGTACTTCGACATCATTTTATCCAATTTATGATCTTTCTTCAAGCTTTATCTAGGCGAGGAATTTTGATTAAAAAGCGATGTCGAACTTTAATGATGAAGGTAGGGTAGAACGTATTATTTGTATCTTTCTACTTTTTCATAAAAACTTTTATTTGGGTCAACTAGGGTTAAAGTTTAGTTGCTTGTCTCAGTGTTCTAATAAGCTTTAACCAGTACTGGGGAATCTGAAGGTTTAATATGCGAGATCAAAGTTTTATTGCCCTTCTAGGAGTATCTTGAGTCATTGCTGGTATTGTTGATTTGCGTTCTGTCTAAGTCATTCTTCTACGTTCTGCTCAATGCTCCATGTTTCTTTGCCTTATTCATTCTGCTATACTTAAATCTAGATTTCAATAGAGACTGGTCATAATTAGGAGGCAAGCTATCCTCTAGAATCTTAACTTTAGGTGACAATAATCGGATATCTTTATTAAGGATCAATTTGTTTACTCTTTCCTTCTGACTTTTATTTTGATAGTGCTTCTCTCTCAATTACTATCCGTCAAATTTCTACAGCTATTGTTGATACTACTCTGATTTTTAGAAGTAACTTGCTGGAGGACTATTGTTAGGAGGAGCTGAGTTATACATCTGTGGATTTTGCTGCACTTGCTACTGCTATTGCTGGCTAAATTATGAGTTCATGGTAGTCTGGTGCTTGATAGTCTAGAAAGTTGAGGGATTGTTCTTTTGGTTTTAGATTGTTGTATTTGCCTGAGTATTTTCAGCAGTTGTTACATTATTGTTATTATTAAGATGAGAATCTAGCGTTGGTAATTTTACTTAACTTTTATTGGATTGATCATTCTAAATCATTTTCTTGAAACCCTTTTTATTATAAGAGTAATATAGGTGATTTTTCACTTCTATAGAGCTGTTACTCAATGCATTCATCTTGTTCTTTTGGTAGTCTTGAAGTGCTCCTTTAAGATACTTTATCAGACTGTCTCTGTCATTTTATTCCTCAGCCTGACCACCGCCTTAAATCATTTCACTGGCTGTAGGCGATGTCTTAATATTTTTGGCATTTCTTATTGGCTCCTAACTAGTGTTCTTGACTTTCATAAAGGAATTGACTTGCTTGTTCTATTGAAGACGCTTAAGAGTCTAAATAGTCTCATGGTACTCGTGAAACTATGGATTGTTATTAGCAAGTGTGAATTTAACTGGATTTTAGTATCGGTCTCTTGATTAATAATTTATTTCCATGATTATAAGAGCTTTTATAAGTTAATGCAAATAGTTTTAAGCAGACTATAATTATTATTCCTAATTCTACAATTTAAATTTAAATTATATCGATTAGCCCAACAACTTACAAATATGTTCAGTAGAAAGAAGAAGAATACCAAATCAGTGGATCCAAGACAATAGTAAAAGCAAGCAATAGCTAATCATCAGCCAATCTAATATAGAGAGGAAAGCCCATCCCATAAGAAAGTTGTTATCTCTGATGGCTTTGTTTAAAACACTCAAAATCAGGGGCAAGAGCAGGTGCGACTTTAGCAAGTGATCTTAAAGCAGCAATACAACTAGAAAGAGTTTGATAAGCTTCATCAGCAGAACTAAGATCTGAGGAAAAGTGTTGAAATTAATAAGCAGATTATGCAGTAGCTTATGAGGACTGTTGAACCAGAAGATTGCCGATTGAAGATTGAAGAACTAATCAGAGTGAATGTGTGGGAAAGCGATGGCAGACTCAAGTAGCTCATGAAGGAGAGAGATGAACTACAAGCAGAACTACTGATTAAGGAGCAGATAATGCAAGCCACTAAAATGTAAGAGTTGCAGTAGGCTGAAATGTATGATGAATAGCTGGAAGAACTAAAAGATAAACTAGAGCGTAAAGAGTATGTCTGCCAGTACAAAGAAGAGGTATGGTCCACTTTTGAAAGAGAACTAAAGAAAGTGATTAAGAAGGATTCAGTGCTATACTAGAAAATACAGGGGACTACTCAGATATTAGTTGAAAATCTAAATGAAACTAAGATTAGCAATGTGGTAAAGGAAAATCATAGGATGCTTGAAGATTAGAAAAAGATAGCGGTGGTTATAGATGGTATCCTTCATGATTGCTAAAAGATCATTGATGAGGAGGAAAATATCTTTAAGAAATTTACTGACAGCGATGTGAATCACTATCAACTAAGGATGTCAAATCTACTGGGTAATAACAATGGGTAAAAGAATCCCTAATCAATAGTCCTGGCTGATAAGATTCTCAAATTGCAGGATTTAGTCGACTCAATCACAAACAGAATTTCAATCTTAGATGACGAGAATAGCTTTCTCAGATCGGAATACTAAAGACTCACAAAGCAAAATTTGTATTTCAACAAGCAAGTCTTGTTTTTACAAGAAAAACTTAAGTTATACTAGGAGAGCACTTAATATATCACAAAAAATCAGCCAACTCCCACCCCTAACTAACAATATAAATCAACAAAATATGGGACTGGCAGTTAAAGTAGCAGTTCCCAGTAAAATCAATTTTCAAATATTGTTTACACCAACGAGGATGCTCCAGTCGGTAGAAACTCTCTGATTCCTTAGCAGTTAATAACAAAACCTGATGCGATCAAGAATCATGCAGGAATCTCCAGCTTCACAATAAATGTTCATCCCACCCATCAATCAGAACAGACTCCGCCTCAATACGATCCAAACACCTAGAATTTCTCAGATGATAAGGAGAACAGACCTATTAATGAAAAAATTGGTTTGAAACTCTCACAAATTGAAATAAACTTGAATAAGTTCCTAAATCAATCACCTGAATTCATGCTAAAAAAGAAAAACATGAAGAATATTAGAAACCTTAACAAGTCGTAAATGAGCAGTCAAAAGCCTAAGATCAGAGTCAATAATAAGCCAATGACTCTAGAAGAACTTGAAAAGGGAGCTTAATCTGATGCATAATATGAAGAATATGATGACGAAAATAAAGAAAACAACTATTTAGCTGTGAGGAGTATTAATAAGAATATACTTTAAGATAGCTAGAATGAAGAGGATGAGATGCAAATCAGTGCAATAAAGTAAGATAGAAACGACAGTCCATTCTTCGAGATTTCATAAAGCAGTTCTATGAATAGCTAATTGTTTTGAATGAAGAGATGTATCTCACCAATAATATTGTATGAATTATTAGGATCCAATACTTTTTGATTTTATACTAGCCCTATAAACTCTGATATTTAACTTGAACTTTTACTTAAGCAATTTAATGGAATTTTCCCTTATATCATATGGGGTTTTGGGGTTTTGGGGTTTTGGGG